AAGTACGGAACCTTATATACCAAAAGTTTAGAAAGGGAAAAATTTCTATCGCTAGCAAAAGAAAATGATAACTTTGACAAATACGTCTCCCTTTCAAAATCGTTGCAACCGGACATTAAATGGTGGATCGATAATATATCATTATCAAAAAACCCAATTACTTCACAAGTCTTTATTCTCGAAATTTTTACAGACGCATCCCTGACAGGCTGGGGCGCCGTATGTAACGAAGAAAAAATCCATGGTTGGTGGAGTCTCGAAGATCAGAAACACCACATAAATTTCTTAGAATTGTTGGCCGCATTTTACGGACTAAAATGTTTCGCAAAAAATTTGCGATCACGAGACATTTTATTACGTATAGACAACACAACTGCGATATCTTACATAAATAAAATGGGTGGAATACAGTACCCAAAATTAACTTGCTTATGTAAAGATATTTGGCAGTGGTGCGAAAAACGCAACCTTTGGATTTTTGCTTCGTACATCGCCTCACATGAAAACGTAGATGCAGATCGGGAATCACGGTCATTACCACAGGAAACAGAGTGGGAACTAGCACCCTGGGCATTTAATAAAATTGAAAATACTTTTGGCCCATTCAAAATTGATCTTTTTGCATCCACCGCGAATAAAAAATGCAAAAAATTTATATCGTGGAAACAAGATCCGAACTCCTACGCAATAGATGCGTTCACCGTGAATTGGAACGGGTTTAAATTTTATGCTTTTCCACATTTTTCCGTCATCCTTAGAACTCTGCAAAAAATAATTACGGATAAAGCCGAAGGGGTACTAGTAATTCCATTATGGCCGACACAGTCTTGGTTCCCCTTATTCAATTCTCTGTTACTGAAAAAACCAATATATTTTGAACCGGATTCTGAATTACTTATCTGTCCATTTAGGGAAAACCATCCTCTCTCGAAGAAACTTACCCTGGCAGCAGGACTATTATCAGGGAAGCTTTTCTCGCACAGGGAGTCCCAGAAGCATCAATTCCGACGACACTCCAGTCCTTAGCGAGCAGCACCATTAAACAATACAACAAGCCTTTGAGGCTCTGGTGGAGTTATTGCAAAACAAGGAATCTTTCAATGTTCAAAGCATCGGTATCGGAAGCTATAGATTTTTTAACGTCTGTGTCGAAATCGATAAAAACGTATGGGACTTTGAATACGTATCGCTCAGCCGTCTCTCTAGTATTGAATCATGATTTAGGAAATAACCCAATCGTTAAGCGCTTTTGTAAAGGTTTTTCGGTGGAAAAACCTTCGCGTGCAAAATACGAAGATATCTGGGACCCAGACGTAGTCTTAAGATATCTTTCAGACCTTGGTCCAAACTCAGAATTGAGTTTAGAACAATTATCGAAAAAATTAGTAACTCTCATGGCTTTATCTACTGCTCAGCGCCTCCAAACTTTATCTAAAATTAACTTAGAAAATATTAAAGTATGCGACGATGCTATAAAAATTTATATTCCCGATAGACTAAAAACTACGAGAGTAGGCAAAAATCAACCATTGTTATATTTTCCATTTATGTCAGAGCAGCCAAATCTTTGCGTGGCAACACTAATTCAAACGTATATGGAAAAAACCAATTCTGTCAGACCAGAAGGCGTGGATTCATTGTTACTAACGTATAAAAAACCATATCAACCTGCGAGTAGTCAAACTTTGAGTCGATGGCTCAAGGAAATCATGAGCATGAGCGGAATAGACGTCAGCACCTTTGCGGGATACAGCGCGAAACATGCAGCTGTGTCTGCAGCAAAACGAAAAGGTTTAAGTATTGAAAACATAAGAGCGGCTGCAGGTTGGTCACATAAATCAAATGTGTTCGGTAAATTCTACAATCGTCCTCTTCGAGAGACATGTAATTTCGCAAGTACTGTATTAAACTGCGAAAAATAAAAGGTGTTATTCAAATCGAAATTCTTATCTTTAAACAACTACATTTGATCTAGAGGACGAGATCACGTAGCATAATTGTACGATTAAACGAACTTACCTGAAGTGAAGTTCAATCGAAATTATGCGAGTAGATCTCGTCCGAATAGATCACTCCCACCCTACCCTAATCAACCCATATCGATTTGAATCAAATTAAACATCAAAGCGTAATGGCGATATAATGGAAGGATGCCCTCTAGTAAGGTAATGCGAAACTTTTAGCGCGAATATTTAAAAAAAAAAAACTGTGGCATGGATCAAGCAACTTGCGTTACTACATTTGATCTATTCGGACGAGATCTACTCGCATAATTTCGATTGAACTTCACTTCAGGTAAGTTCGTTTAATCGTACAATTATAGTTAATTCTACCTACAAGAATTCAATTATTTAACTATGAAAATAAGTATTTTACTAAACAATTAAATGTTTCTTAAAATTCAATTTCCATAAAGAATTTTATTAACAAACTTTTAAATAATTGAATTCTTTCTACGATTTTTAATAATAAAATTTTCAAGAATTTTTTGAGAAATTCGATTAAAATTGTTTTTAAAATAATTGAAATTCTCCGATGAGTTTTATGAATTATGAAAATAATTGAATTCTTTAGACGAATTTTAATAAAATTTTTAAGAATAATTAAATTTTTCGAGAAATTCGATTAAAATTGTATTAAAAATAATTGAAATTTTGCGATGAGTTTTATTATTTGTGAAAATAATTTAATCCCTAAGAAGAAATTTATTATTTTCGAACAACATTTCATTTTTGCGAAGAACGTTATTACTCTTGAAAATAATTGAATTTCTGCAATAATTAATAACTTTTTTAAAATTAAATTCCTTTTTCGTGTTTTTGACTAAAACTCTTCTAGGGTAAATGCACTAGTAGTCGGACACTTAAGGATACAATCTTAAATTATGGTTTTTTTCTTGAAATAGCAAATATCTTCTGTGTTTATAAGCACATTATTAATTAAAGGAGTTCTTCAGGATTAAAAATCATATAAATTTGTTACAAATAGTTGAGTATTTAATAAAATATAAACATTTTAATAAAAAATTACAAATGCTTTAGTAGTCGGACACTTTTTTTCCTTGTTTCTATAGTCGGACATCTGTCAGATATTTTGAATTTATAAAGTAAAACAGATAATTTTTTAATTGCTATCTGCTGGAAAATGGAATTCAAGCATATTAGAAGTTATTAATATAATATTTAAACCCTATAAGTTTTAATATTTATGATTAATTATCAACAAAACTTTGTGCCACTCATCGCGCTACTCGAAAATGGTTGTATCTATAGTCGGACACCATGATTTTTAAAACATTAAATAAAATATTTCTTGTTTCATTATTTTCGAAAATAACACTATTTTAATAAAATATAAACTTCACACATTCGTCTAGTATACTTTTTAAAGTAATTATCACAATGCATTATTATTTATTTGCCAAAAAACACGAAAGTGTCCGACTACTAGTACTGTCCGACTATACCCGCACTTACCCTATATGTGTATTATTTTTAATAATTTTTGAAAAAGTTCTTTGAAAATTTTAAAATTCATTTTACAAAATTTCAATTATTCGTAAATTCTTCAAATAAATAGGGGAGAGTGGGGCAAACCGGCCATACTTACGGTTTTTTGACTCTTGTGACTAAACGAATCAACCGATTTCATTTTTCGATGGCTTGTTTGAAAGATCATTTAATTGCGCAACTTTTTCCCAGAGACACCTATACTTCATCTTTTATTGTTTAGTTGCTGTGTTAACTTTAAAAAATTTTGCAAAAGGTCCGGTTTGCCCCACCCCCTGGGGTAAACCGGACCGTTTGGTTTTTTATTTATAATATTGGATTTCATTATCTACAATAATACTTAAACATAAAGAATCATGTAAACAATGGTTGTAGTAATGAAAATAATAATACGGGATTGAATTTTAATTAAATAAATATTTTTTTTATCAAAAAATAAAAATGTTTGTCATTATCAGAGTAACAATATTAAAGGGTCCAATTCTCATTGGAAGACAATTATTTTTCATTGTAAGTAAATATTTTAATGAAAGAAACATTATATTTAAAAATAATTTTTATGAAACTTTAATTCAATGGAAATATCCTATGGCCGGTTTGCCCCACTCTCCCCTATATATTAGAAAATAAAAACTTCAAATAATTTTTAAAAAATCCACAATATTAAACTTTCTCAAAAAAATTAAATTCTCAAAAAAATAATTAGTTAAAATTTTCGAAAACAATTGAATCCCTGTAAAAAATTTACTATTTTTGAAAATAATTGAATAATTGCGAAGAAATTTATAAAAAAATTTGTAAATAATTGAATTCCTGTGAAATTTTATTATTTTATGGAAATAATAATTAAAGACTTGCGTAGAATTTTATTAAATTTTTTTTAAATAATTGAATTCTTTTGAAAAATTTTATTAAAATAGCAAATATTAAAAATCATTGAATTGAGGACATTTTTTTGAAAATAATTGAAATTTTGTCAAGAACTTTATTAAAATTTTTGAAAATAATTGAATTACGGAGAAGAATTTAAAATTATGTCTAAAGATAATTGAAATTTTGACGAGAATGTTTTATAATTTTTGAACATACATAATTGAATTTCTGCGAAGAATTTTATTACTTTTGAAAATAATTGACTTTCTGCAATCATTTGTAATTTCTCTAAAATTTTCAAAATTATATCGTATAATTTACGATATAATTTCTAAAAATTACAATTACCTGAATTCTATTATTTTCTACAATTTTCAATTAAACTTCATCTCTAAATTAATTATTTTAAATAATTTTCCGAAAGTTCTTCAAGAATAAATTCAATTATTAAAATACAAAAACTCAATTTTCTTAATTTCTCTGACAGAAAATTTTGTTTCCTTTCATTTCCCTCACTTTACTGACAAAAATTTTGTTTTCCTGACATTTCCCTGACTTTACTGACATGTAGCCACCCTGCTCTTTGAAATAATTAATATAATATAAATATAAACGTACATTTCACTAAAACATTTGGCAGCCTCCTTGACATTCTTGGCGAGTTTTTCTACCCTGTAAGCTTCAAACTATAAACAAATAAATACATTATTATTACTAATAATAATTTGTAATTAAGCAAAATAAAAACACAATTATTTACTATTTTATAGAATTCTAACAACTGTCTATAACTATAGGCAAATTACAGTTAAAATAATTGAGAAATACCATCAAGAATATGAAATCAAATTTTAGATTATGTTTTGGATTATAAAAATCATATTTTTACACGTAATAGGATAAAAAATTTACCTGTACTTTAGCACTGTGCGGAAATAAAGATTTTGCCGTAATTAACCATGATTTTGCTGCATAAATGTCAGTGGCTAAAGCTTCTTTAGCTCTTAGAATTAAATAATCTTCTTTTGATAATTGATTTTCGGAAGTTGCCGCTTTCTCCAACATTGTTAGAGAAATTCTCATTAATTAAACATATAATTAATTCTATATTTCTAGTTTAATATATACAATTAATATTATATATAATACATATATAATAAAAAAAAATTAGAAAAACTTTCTTTGCAAAAGTTTGTCAACATAACCTTCCTAATATTCTGACGTTTCTATGGACTGCTTTACCGACATGTGATATTGTTGCAAATAAATTCTCTTGTGCTATCGACTATTCACTGCAGAGGGAGATACTGACATTTTCTTTGTTATTAAAAAAATTATAGTAACGGAAAAGCTTTCTATTTCTTTCCTAATTATTGTTAAATAAATTATTATATTTGGTAGGTAACAGAAAATGAAAGGTAATTTTACTTTCAATGGGAGTTTATAAATTCTAATACAAATATTAAAAATAAATTTTTCATTTTAGAACAATTTTGGACTAATTTATAATAATGGCGAGGAGTTTGTTTACTCGGCTGCGACCAACAACGTTACAAATTTTGATGCACTGATAGAGGGATGTTTTCACCTTTTAAACTGTGAGGTAAAGTACAATTATATTAAACGAAATTAAATATATTTTAAATATATATTAATAACTTATTAAGTCGAAAAAAGAATTATTTGTCATAGTTTGACAGATAGTGATTGAAAATTGCGGTTAGGATTCAATTAATTGAGTACTAAAAATTGACAAATACTTTTCTCCGAATTTGAATCAGTTAAAAATAACAAAGTTAGGAAAATTTATTCACTGATTCAAATAGGTAGTAATATTTTCCTAACGAAATTGTTAATGGAAACTAATTATTAGTTTTTCCCAGTAAAATTTAATTCCCGGATGGTAAACACTCTTTCAAATATATTAGTAGAAACTTAAATCCGTCGAAGACGGGTCCGATAGCTAGTTTATAATAATATTTGACTCTTAAAGAACTATCATAAAATTGAAATTCATTAAATTATAAATCAATTAATAAATAATTTTACATATCATTTTTTAAAAATAATTGAAGTTTATAAGAGTTTTGTTTACAATTTTTATAAACGATTGAATTTCGATCAATATGTCTTAAATTGAAATTGTAATTGACAAATGGAAATTATGCAAATTTTTCTTATTTATTTTTTCTCTGAAAAACTTATTTGTTTGACAAATCGAAATTATACAGGTTTATTTTCTTTTCTTCTACCTAAAACAAATTAGAAAATTTTTGAAAAAATTAAGATTAAGAAATGGAAAATATATCCATTTTGCATATTTTCTGTTTCTCAATCACAATTTTGTTCACAAAGTCAAAAAAATTTACATAATTCCTGTATAATATTTTCAAAAAATTATAATAAAGAAATTCTTACAATTAATTTTTTAAAAATATTTTAAAATAATTTTTGAACGATAATAGTTTTTCAATTTTGAAAAATTTCCGTACAATTAAAAATTGGTAAAATCTTTTAAAAATAATTGAATTTTTGAAAATACAGCAAACCTCTCTACGGCGGAAAGCAATTAGACGATTCCGCCGTAGAGAGGCTCGTTAAAATGCTATTAGTGAGTGAACGTTATGGGATATATCAACCATTTTAAATCATATGATCTTTAAATATGAAATAGAAGTTATGATATTTTATTAATAACCTTATTTAAAAACATGTATTAAAAATTATTGAATTCTTGCAAAGAATTTTGTAAAAAAATTTGAGAGTAATTGAATTCCTTCGCAGAATTTTATTATTTATGAAAATAATCGAATTCTCGCGAAAAATTTAATTAAAATTTATAAAAATCATAATTAAATTCTTTTGAAGAATATCTTTAAACTTTTTTAAATGAATGGAGTTTACTTAATATTTATAATAAAATTGAAAATTTTGAAAGTAATTGAATTATACAAAGAATTTTTTCAACTTTTTAAAATAATCGTGTCTGTTAATAATTTTAAATATTTGATTTTTAAAGTTTACTAAAATTGTATTGAAAATAATTAAATTCCTCAGAAGAATTTTATTATTTATAAAAAATAATTTGATTTTTGCTATGAATTTTAAATATAATTATTTTTTTAAAAAATTACTTTGATTTGTTTTTCTATTTATTTTGTCATTTTTATGTTTATTTTTTATAATATATAAAATATCACAAAATAAACAAAAATTATAAATCAAATATAAAATAAATAATTTTAATAAAAGAACATCTGCATAAAAATTACAATTCGGAAATTTTCGGCCCTGAATTTCATGGCACTCACACAGTCACAACTCTCACTGATATAATCCCTTCTACTTCTATCTGGCGAGTTTCCGCCGTATAGAAGTCCGCCGTAGAGAGGTTTGCCTGTAGTGTAAATAAAAATAATCAAATTTTTGAAGAATTTTAAATAAGCCTATGATTTCTAAAAAATTTTAATAAGTTCAATAAGTTTAATAAGTTACCTGAATTTTGAATCTTAAAAAATTATTACAAAACAATTCTAATAAGGGGTCGTTCATAAACTACGTCACACTCCTAGGGGTGGGGGGGGGTGTCAAGCTGTGTGTGACGAAGTGTGCAAAAAAAATTTTTTTGTATGTAAAAAATGTGATGAAGGGGGGGGAGGGGGTAAAAATCAATCCGAAAAAGCGTGACGTAGTTTGTGAACGACCCCTAATTATTTTTTAAAAATATTTTATTAATGTAATTTTTCGAATATAATTGTATTTCTTAAAAAAATTTTTGTTTAATTTAAAAAAACCAATGAATTTTTTAATGAATTGTAATTAAAAATTTTGAACATTATTGTTTTCTCCAAAATGTTAAAAATATTTCTAGAAATGCAATTAAAATTCTTCAAAAATTGTAACAAAATACTTGAAATAAATGAATTATTTTTAATGAAATTTTACAAAATTTTAATTATTCAAAAACAATTTTTGAAAGATTTGTGTATATTAATTTTTTGCATTTTAAAAATCAAAGTAAGTTGTATTTTTTTACTAAAAATTGTGGTATTTTGTTGCAATGTTTGGAAGAAAAGTCGAAAAAGTCTCAATTTTCTTAATTTCCCTGACAAAAAAACATTATTTTAGAAGTTATTCAAACTTTTCTGAAACTAATTAATATTTCATTAATGTAATTTTTCAAATATAATTGTATTTTTCAAAAGAATTTTTTGTATAATTTAAAAAAATGAATGAATTTTTTGATGAATTGTAATTAAAATTGTTGAACATTATTGTTTTCTCCAAAATGTTAAAAATAATTCCAGAATGTTATTATTTTTGGAACTATGTAAATTGTTTTCGTTTAATTTGCCTCCCACACAGACACAGCACATGATATTTCCTAAATATTTCCTGAATATTTCACTGAAAGATTGAAATATTTCAGTGCAAAGTTCTAGAAATATTTCTGCAAACAGGAAAATGTCCGCTTATGTGGGAATATTGACGCGAAAGTTGAGAAAATATTTCATTGAAATATTCCTGCAATATTACACATAAAGATTCTGCAATATTGTGAAAATATTTCACAAAATGGAAAAATTTGTTAAACACCTCAAACCAATAGGAATTTTCTGAAATATTTTAAAACCCATAGGATATAGTAAGCCAAAAACTACTGCGCAGCTCTACAGGCCATAGAAACTGAGTTCGACCAGTGCGCATCATTTCAGTTGAATATTTCCAAAATATTTCAATGAAATATTTTCTCAACTTTCGCGTCAATATTCCCACATAAGCGGACATTTTCCTGTTTGCAGAAATATTTCTAGAACTTTGCACTGAAATATTTCAATCTTTCAGTGAAATATTCAGAAAATATTTAGGAAATATCATGTGCTGTGTGGGCTTAATTTAAATTATTGAATTTTAAAAATTAAAAGCTTATTTTCATTTTTAAATTTAAAATTCAATTATTTTCAAATTTGCAATTAAAATTCTTCAAAAGTTGATTTTCAAAAATTGTAACAAAATACTTGAAATAAATTAATTATTTTCAATTAAATTTTACAAAATTTTAATTTTTCAAAAACAATTTTTGAAAAATTTGTTTACAGTTATTTTTTGCATTTTAAAAATCAAAGTAAGTTGCATTTTTTTTACTAAAAATTGTGGTATTTTGTTGCAATGTTTGGAAGAAACGTCGAAAAAGTCTTAATTTCCCTGACAAAAAATTTTTTTCATGACATTTACCTGACTTAACTGATATAAATATTGTTTTAAAATTTGTGTCATGGAAATTTTGTCATTTATCATCTGGAAATCATGTGGGAAAATCATGGAATTTTATAAGGAGAAATTTGTAGAATAACCCTGAATAATTTTTTTTTACTAAAAACTATTCTATAGAAAATATATATATACCATCATATGGTGTAGATTTTTCAAGGTAATTTAATAATATTTTAAATAATATTTTACTGTTATTAAGATTGTTTAAAATTGTTTGAATTTTTTTGGTCCAAGTTTGACGACCTGCATTTTCTAAGAAAAAAAATACACGTTAATGCCTATAAGTAATTCTCATTCTGTAGAAAATGACCTTTAAAATAAGCTTACTCTCTAAATCTGAATAAGTGAGATTTCACTTATTTTAAGTGAATATTCACTTATTCCATGTTTCAAAACTCTTCCACGTAGAATAAGTGAATATTCACACATGAAATAAGTGAATTATATTCACTTATGAATAAGTGAATTACATTCACTTATGAATAAGTGAATATTCAATTATCAGATAAGTGAATACTCAGACATTAAGAAGTGAATGTAAATAAATAATCAGGATCAATATTATATAAAAAAAATATTTATTTACTATCAACTATTTAACACTCTTCTCTTCTCATTATCAGTCTGAAACTTATAAACATATCAATTTTTCAACTTTTTAAGCTAAATTCCCAAACGGTCACCCATCCTAATATTAACTGCAAGCAATGTCGCTTAACTTTGATGATCAACGAGAAACACTACAATGCCACTTAATAAGTTGCCTTATACTCATAGAAAATTATTGGGTGATACTTATAAAGAGTTAGTTTATTGTGTTCTACTTTAACGTTTTGTTTAAGATTTCTCTTATTATATATGTATATAAATACTTAGTAAATAAAAAGTTAGTTATTAGATTACTGTTAATATAATATTTAACTGAATATTTTTTAAAAAATTT